AATGTTTTATTATTATTATTATTATTATTATTATTATTATTATTATTATTATTGATAGACATTTTTACCGCCAGCTTCAGTGAACATTTTCTTTTGCCAGTTAAGTACTGTCAGGAAAGAGATACCATTTGCTCCATTTTAATGGTGACCGTCCTTGGCATAACCTTTCCCCCGAATCTCTACCCACCCACCCACCACCCTAGTCTGCCCACCCAACCACCCAACCACCACCCTAGTCTGCCCACCAATCCACCCACCCACCACCCTAGTCTGCCCACCCAACCACCCACCACCCTAGTCTGCCCACCCACCCACCCACCACCCTAGTCTGCCCACCCACCCACCCTTATGCCAGATGCAAGTAAAACTGACGGCAGACAAGTAAAATTTTGTAAAATATTGTACATCAGTTACTGACCACTTATAATTTCTGCTTATGGTCAGCTGTTAGATTCTGAAGGGCAAGTGGGTAAAAACTGGTATTGGCATAAACTGCCTTGCTCCCCCCTCCCAATCCCCTGTCTCCTCTCCCCCCCCCCTCCCTCATCAGCACATGCGCCACGCTTGTCTCTCATTGTGAGAATTGTTCCAGTAGGGCCATTCAGGTAGTTTTATCACTTACAATTACCCAATGACTGGTAATTAAGCCACAGCAGAATTATTCCACAACTGTAACACTAAGATGATAATCACATTACACAGCGAATTATACAGTTTAGGGCCATCGTCAAGGGAGTAAAAGAGAGGGAAAAATTGATCTACTTGTATCTAATTTCTTTCAGAGTGTTATATGGGGGGAAAATGACAGACATGATGTCATGATAAGATACTGCTCTATGCCACATTTTTTAGATTGGAAAAATTTGTTTTGTACTAGGTTGTGTTCTCATGGATTCTAACTTATGCCAGACCATAGGCAAAGTATTTCCTCTCTCTCTCTCTCTCTCTCTCTCTCTCTCTCTCTCACACACACACACACACACACACACACACACACACCGTGATTTACACTGACACTCTCTCTCTCTCTCTTGTTTCAGACCCAAATACACTGAATCTTGTCTCACATCAATCCAGATATCTCATGATGTCAATTAGTCTGTTTCAGTTTCAATTTAGGCCCTGTCTGTTTCAGTTTCAATTTAGGCCCTTTCTGAACACACATTAAAATGAAGATCATAAGATTGTACACACAAAGACCATTAGCGAGAAAGATCAGGGTATGGGAAAATATTGATCTAATACTATTTATGTTCTCTTCAAAGTGTCCCCTATGGTAGGGAAGGAAGCTAAGGACTGGGCTAGAAAATGGATTGAGTGTCATGGGAAATGATGCTGTTCCTGAGAGAAAGTCTTTAGCTGTGGATATTGAAGTGATTGCATGATCCCATTTGTGATCTGTAATTTAAATGGATCATTTGAAGACTTCGGCTTAACATGGATGGATGGAGAAAAAAAGAAAAGAAAAAAGTTTCATATGCTAGTAATGTTGTTTCAAATTTCCATCAAAGGGCTTTGATCACATGACTGACTTCCTGTTTCGTCTCTTTAGAAACAATTCACTTCTTTTTTTTTTTACCAAAGATCGTTGGGTTTATCATGTCATATTTCTATTATTTAAATTTTTTTTGGAATTTTTCTTGGAATTTCAGAATGAATAAAGATACTCAGATGGAACTGCTAAATTGAACAAAATATATATAAAGGCAGCTATGTTTCCTATCAGTATGTTCTAATGCCAATTTTTCAAAATCTTGTTTGATAATAACATAGCACGCACCATCTGTTCAGACACTCAGAAATTGTGCTACGGTAACTATTCTCTTCATTCGAACAAAATTGAATTATTGATTTATATTTTCCAAATCAGTGCTTTGTTCGTTAAATCTACAAGAAGATGTGACTTAATTTCTGTACAAATCTTTAAACCTACTTGCAATTGGCTTCAGGTACCAGAAAACATGTTACTTTGAGTTTAACCAATAATGACGATTTTTGAAAAAAATTTGAAAGATATTAGGTGTTTGAAAATTTTGGGTAACTCCTGTATTCATTTTATGTTCTTATCTTGATAAAAGGTTGAATGAAAGAAGCATTGAGGGAAGTACCAATTAATTTTGTTCATATCGTGTGGTTTTCCAATCTATCATGAGTTGTGTTCCTTTTATTATTATGAAGTTCAATTAGCACCAGCTGTCTCTCACTTGTTCACATATTTCTTTTCTTTTTCAGAGTGTCTGTTATATTTATCATAGAACATCATAAACCCTGGTTATTTGATAGACATGGTGTTAGCAGAAACTCAAGAATAACCTGTGTGTGTTTTTATTGATTATCTAAAAAAAAAAAGAACTTGAAAGATGATGCTTCTTTGTTTTTGGATTACTGTATTTCCGCTTGTAGATAGGACTCGGATAATTTTAAGTACATACCTTGGGCAGCATTTCTTTTTATGATTGACAGTATGAGGCAGAATATTGTATGCGAGTTATAGGATATGATGTCAGTGTTGTCAGATTGCTTTATTGTCGCTTTAACAAATTTATTTTTCTCAAGGACGATCTGTGAGCAGTTCACCTAGAAAACTAGGTGCTTTGATGACTAATAATCTGGAAAATAGCAGGTACCATCTTTGTATTTCATTTCACATTGTTTCTTTGTTTTCTGAAGACTGATTTGTCTGAGGACAATAACTGAAATCTGATGATGTGTGGTACACCAAGAGCAGCAGAATCTGATATTTTACATAGTTACCAGGAAAAAATAACAACGTATATTCATGTTTGATCTTTTTAGATACTGTGATCTTTATATTTTAGGTAACTATTCTATGTTCACCTTATTGATTGAAATGTCTTAGTTAGGACAAGCTGTGCATCTTAAATAGCAGGTGATTTGAATTATCACCACCTGAAAAACAGTGTTTATGAATTTTGTAGATACTGAGGTTACATTTTCAGATTATAATATTCATTCATCCATTAGTTTATTCTTATATAAGGTAAGAGTAAACAGGCAAAAACGTATATAAACATATAGAAACCGTTAATCTTTATTCCCAGGTTTCAATACTTTGAGATCTGTAGACTAGTTCATGTGGACAGAATCATTCTAAGGACAAAGTATAAGCTGTGCAGGATACAGAAGACAGGTGTTTGAATTAATTACCTGGCCAAAGGTCAAGAAAAACACACCTTTAAGGTAAGGTTAAAGAAAGTCAAATACAGAATTTATTTATTTCAAATGTGCAATTTAAAATCAAATGTCAAAATACGTACATATCTTTATACAGACAATTCAAGTTTTGATACATCAAATGTGAACTGAAATAAATGAATCTTCTTTTTATTAGCAATTTTTCCAGTTTTTTTAAAAATCTCTATGCATTTTGGAAGTGCTTGTAATTAAAGACATATTAGAATTGCAATAAGTTTCTTGATATTCTAACTATATTTTTATTGTATTCTGTCTAAATGAAGATTTAAAGGACATATATTCATTCGG